CGTTGACCAATCATCATTACTGTGCTTTTTCTTACCGTTGTATTTTATTTTTTACAAACGTTGGGATTTAATTTGACTCTGAAAAAGAGAAACGAAATTGGGCTATAATTGGGCTTTCACTACCAAACTAATGAGCTATATATGTTGTCATTAAAGATTATTACAAATATTTAATCTAGAACAGAACGCTTATCGACGCGCTTCCGGTCCTCTCATTAATGCGAAAAATGTCAAATATTGGTGGACTCACGCGCTCAACGCGCCATTGGTGCGAGTGGAGTTGCTCCTTGTCAGGCGCGTGGACTTACTTTTTGACCTTTTTACTGACTTTCTTATTTTTCGTGCGTGTTATATTAATGATGTCATGGTCTAATTAATGATTTATTTCCTTTTTCTCAAACTATTGTAAAATTCTCTTTGTTAAAAATAATTTTTAGAAGAGAGTGTTGTAGGGATTTCCTAGTTGTTTCAATCTTTCGATACAGTACAGATGTTTGACTCAAACAGTAAGAAAGATAGTCTACACACACAAACTAAGCTAATTATTGGTTCAAATTAAAAGTTGGTTAAAGATTAATCGTCGTATCTAAGAAGGATTATGTGTCACAAGGTGAACCTTATTCACACTCTCTTTAAACGCTTCCCACGCAACTCTGCAATGCTCTTTCGACCTCATCCCTTGTTCAACAACCTGCATCGCTCTTGTGTGCAAATGCTCGTACCATTGATCCGGATTCATTATGTCCACACGGCCTGACCCGAAATCCGCCACATAGAGACGCTTCACGTCATTGCGCCACCGTTGCAGTATATACTGAGACGGGACTTCCTCCAGGCCGTTGTGGCCGAGTAGGAGGAGGACGTGTCTGCATTGGAACCCATTGAAGCTGAAACCACCACACACACAGAAGCAACGTACTTGTGCTCCTGCACTTGTCTCGTATATGACCTCAAATTCTCTCACTTTCTCTCCCTCCCGCTCTTTCACCACGTAGGAGGAGGCCGAGCCGTTTGAGTGGACTCGCGCTACTCCAAAACACAAAGACATTGCCGAGACCTCCTCTTGGAACCTTCTAAATATCTCCTTTGTGAACACCTTTGCCATCTGAGACTCATACGGGTGCGTTGTTTTGAGCTCTGGGATCGACTTTGAGGACTCTGAATCGCACAAGGCTTCACTAGTGTACTTTTTGTCTAGAAAAGATTCGTACCCTTCAAGGAATTCCCTCAGGGATGTGTGCTGGTGAACGTAGCCACTGAAGATGAACGGGGCTGCAGAATTTCCTAGCTGAAAAGTCAGCGCCCCGGCCAAAAATGTATCCTTGAGGTAGACTGGAGCCCATTGTTCTCGATCCTGAAACAAGCCCTGAATAGTCTCATGATTTGTCAGCCCAAACCGGATGACCATCTCTTCCCAAGCTACTTCAAATTCTTCGACCTTGAGAAAACCGTAGACCACTCTATTCAGTGCAATACGGAATGACTCAGAATCTTGTAGTCCGTCAACACTCTGAAAAATTGTATGCAAGACGTGGGTCATGCTAAGACGATGATGAGTCCTTGGAAAAACTTCAGAGACTGCAGTCTGCATTGCCTTGCACTGCTCTGTGACAAAGGTCTGTGGCGGACGGCCTAACATACAAGTTAGCCACGCTCTGAAGAGCCAGACGTAAGTCTCACAGCTCTGGTAAGCAACCAAGGCAGAGCCGAGCAAGATGGAATCTCCGTGGTGGTTTATTCCAACAAACGCCACAAGGGGAAGTTCATATGCGTTTGATAAACATGTTGTGTCAAACACAACAACATCGCCAAAGTGAGAGTATGCAGCCCTAGCTCGAGCTTCAATCCAGAAAACATTCCTGAGACACCCGTCATCGCCAAGATCCATCAAGTAAACAAAGTTGGGGTTCGTAAGCTGAATTTGGAAGAAGAAATCCTGCAAGATCCTGAAACCTCCTCTGAGCTCCAAACGCCTTGAAGAGTGGGAGTGATCATGAGTGGGATCGCTCGTCTCCCCGCTAGAGTTTGAGGTCCCATGAGCCGGTGTGTCAACGGCAAGGGTTGTATACAATTTAATAGTCCGGACTTGAACATCAAGAGGTGGTTCTTGTTTCCTTTTGGTGGTTTTCTTATGGGACTTAGAATTCTGGGCTCTTTGAAGATCAAAAGAGTGATTGTGGTCGAGCTTGACTTGATCCACTTTCCATCTATCAAACTCAATCAACCTGAGACGTATCATTGCTTGGCAACCAGTTCTGGTCTCTTTTCTACGGGTGTTTGCTTCTTTAACCATCTTGAAACCTTCGCAGTTGCAGCAGAGGACAGCACCACGTTTCTCCTTGCTGTTACGCTTCGTCCATGAAGATTTGACTCTGATAGCAAAACCGAGCTCCCTGGCGTAGGAATTGTAGTAATTATAGGCATCATCGTAAGAGTCGAACTCCATTCCCGAAGCAGGAGGCATCAAACATTTTCCTTGGGAGTCGTCCGGGAAAGTATCGCTTTCTTCGAGGTGGTTAGTCTCAATTTCAAGCAATCCATCGCAATCATTTTCAAGGTCAAGGTCGGTTTCGAGATCATCAGGGTTTTCTGCAACAAGGTGGTCGCTGCTCTGAGACCCATCTTCGATCTGGAATCAAAAAGCAGACAGGATTGAAGCATCAGATAGCGAATGTTCAACGCAGATTCAAAGGATTAAACCTAGTTCGGAAGCAGAAGACAGTCTATAAGGTTGAAGAGAGAGAGAGGAACGAACCGTGATGCAGAGATTAGGGTCGGGGGAGAGAGAGTGGTCGTCGTAGACGCTATCACCGATCATCGTTCGTCTGTGCAAGTGTTTGTTTTCCTCTGCGACTGCGAGAGAGAGCTAATTTGAAATCAAATCATAAGTTCGGGGACGCAAGTGCAATTAAACTTGTTTTGCAAAATCACGGGCCTCTATTTCTCTCGTTTTATTGTTTTGGGCCTTTTTTTTTTTCTTTTTTGCAAATCGCAACACTCGTTTTCACATGAATAGAACAGCCATAATGGTTGGTTGTATGATTAAAACGAACTCTAATAAAAGGGATCAAAAACTCAATGGGAAATTGTAAGAGTTTGGGACAAAAACCCTTTTGATAAGTAGGAGACGAAAACATGACGCATAAATAAATTACAAATAAATGCAAAGGGGGAAACCAAAAAGAAGAATAAATTATACAGATGAAGGAAGGAAGGCTTGTCACAAGCTCTCTCACAAAAACTCTTTTTTAAAATGGCACAACAACCTCCTGAAAATTTAACAACACACAAAGTCC